AAAAAAAATATATATATATATATATATATATATATATATATAGCAAAATCCCCTGCCTAGCATTCCTCATCCGCCTTAGCTGGCTATATTTTTCTCTATGCCACTTACCCCACTCTGACATACTATGTTTGTTAACTGTCTATCTCTCCCACAAGCTCCATGAGGGCAGAGACTTTGTCCTGTTTACTTCTAGGCCTTCCTCTAGGCCTACAATAGTGCCTAGTTGCCCTTGCATATTGTAGGAGCTTAAAAGTTACTTGTTGAATGAATAACTCTGGACCAGAAAAATAGAAAAAGCAGTTGTGGGGATACAGAGCAGAATGGGAGGAAGAAGGAAGGAGCCGATGAGCACAAAGAAGCCGAGATAAGACAGGAGAGGTCATGAGAGCCCTTCCTCCGGGTTCTAAGCCATTCATAAGGCACAGCTGTACGTGAGCTGCTCAACTTCAAGTTGTTCTTCAACTTCAACTTCACTTGCTCTTTCTCATTTGCAATTGACAAGTCCTAACCAATATTAACAGCGGGAAGTCCCCAACAAACACAAAACTGAAAAAACAATAACCTAGAAATTTAATTATCATTAGATTTATGAGAAAGTACATACTATTGCATTCACAAAGATGAGAATGCATATTAGAACTAATAAGGGTTCAGTGAGTGGCTGGATACAAAACAGATACATAAAAAAACAGATTTCTTCACAAGAGCATTAAGAAAGTTATGGGGAGAGGCCGGCCCCATGGCTTAGCAGTTAAGTGCACGCACTCTGCTGCTGGCGGCCCGGGTTCGGATCCCAGGCGCGCACCAACACACTGCTTGTCAGGCCATGCTGTGGTGGCGTCCCATATAAAGTAGAGGAAGATGGGCACGGATGTTAGCTCTGGGCCAGTCTTCCTCAGCAAAAAAAGAGGAGGATTCGCATGGATGTTAGCTCAGGGCTGATCTTCCTCACAAAAAACAGAAAAACAAACATACAAAAAGAAATGTAAAAGTGCAGGAACAATATGAAGACAACACAAAACTCTGCATTTACATACTATTTGTATACATAAAAAGTACAAAAAAGATCATAGGAGGTATGATTAGAATATTTAAAATATATATACCCTGGAGCCGGCCCTGTGGCTTAGCGGTTAAGTGCCCGTGCTCCGCTACTGGCAGCCCGGGCTCAGATCCTGGGCGCACACCGATGCACCGCTTGTCCGGCCATACTGAGGCGGCATCCCACATACAGCAAACTAGCAGGATGTGCAACTATGACATACAGCTATCTACTAGGGCTTTGGGGAGAGAAAGGGGAAAAAAAAGAGGAGGATTGGCAATAGATGTTAGCTCAGGGCCGATCTTCTTCAGCAAAAGGAGGAGGACTGGCATGGACGTTAGCTCAGGGCTGATCTTCCTCACACACACACAAAAAGAAATAAATAATTGATATAAACTACAGGAATATCCATAAATAATTGATATAAACTACATTATTGTTTTGAGATATTATGTAACGTCACGTGTAAATAGTCTTGTCTTCCAATTAGACTTCAAACTTCTTGAGGACAGGTATCATGTATTCCCCCAAGTACCCAACACAGAATTACTATGCACAAAGAAGTGAAGGAAGAAATACTTGTTAAATGACTCAATGAATAGGAGTAATAACTAATTTTGTAAAGAATATACCAAAACTATTGTAAAACAATAAAATTAAAAATACTGGGACCTTGACATTATTCCCAACAGAGCTGTCTTTCGATGACACTGTCTTCACATTTATCCATGCAGTTTTAGTTATAGAAATACTAAAAGGATGTTACTCTAAGGTATTTCATTTATCATGTGGTCTCATGGCATATTCATCAGTATGTTCAGAAAGAACTTCAGGGTATGGACCAGATGGCTTCTAAGATCCCTTCCAATTCCTCTGCGAAAAGGATGTATTTATGCTGTGTCTTCCTTATTTTTTATTGAGGTAACATTGGTTTATTATATAAATTTCAGGTATATATTATTATATTTCGACTTCTGTATAGACTGCATTGTGTTCACCACCAAAAGTCTTGTGTTGTGTCTTAAAGGATGGACTGGATTTAGACAGAATAACTGTGAAAGAAGAATATCCGGGGGCGGGGGGGCAGTCATCATGTTCATGATGATGCTTCTAGTGGGGAATGAAATAAAACTGAGATAAGAAAAACAGATGAAAGGATTTTAACAAAACGTAAATGGCAGAAAAAGAATAAGAGAATGAATAAATAATTACCTAACCAAACTTCCCAATTAAGATCAAAAGGATCTGGCTGTGGCAATTCTTGCCAAGAGAGAGTATGTATTTCAGAGATGTGTGAAAATAGAATGGCTGCTCAGTTTGCCAGGTAGATGTTTAGTGGACTGCTGACTCTACACTTCTAACGTGTTTCAGGATACCCAGAGTGCCAAGGTATGGTAATGACGGAACCCAGCTTAACAGAGAATTCCAAGACATTCCTTTGAGCATTGATGAGGTTCACTCTAAGCATCAGGAGTGACCACCAGGCAGGCTCCTGGTCTGGCCAGAATCAAGGTCAACATTTCAAAGCATGGTAAAGCACATTACGGAAATAAGATTTCTCTTCCAGAAATAAGATCACAGGGTCGATTATTGAAATCTGTGAGAGAGAGAAACAAAGGTGAAAGAAACCGAAAGAGAGAAAAGTATACATATATAATGGACAGTGTGGTTACAAATGAAAGCAAAACGGGACTATTTATTTCTCCAGCACATTCTGTGAAGCACTGAATGGAAGTTAAAGTGGATTAGACTTCAGGGAGTGAGTGGGAGATGAATAAAAATTTATTAGTTGTATCTAATTATTAGATTACTAGACGTATCAAAATTTAAGTTGAAGAACTTATTTCTCACATTGTAAAAAGGGGTTAATGCAGTTACATTTGAGGTGTTCTATTCATCCTATATTTTATTTATTTATAATTTTTTTAAGACATGGAAGTGAAGAAGGGAAAACAAAGGGTAGGTGGAGAGATAGGCTTAGATAAACTGGCTCTGTATTCATTAAGAACAGATTAATAGGAAAAGCATTAAGATATATAAAAAATTTGAAGGGCCGGCTCCGTGGCTTAGCGGTTAAGTGCGCGCGCTCTGATGCTGGCGGCCCGGGTTCGGATCCCGGGTGCGCCCCGAGGCACCGCTTCTCCGTCCAACGTGAGGCCGAGTCCCACGTACAGCAACTAGAAGGATATGAACCTATGACATACAACTATCTACTGGGGCTTTGGGGGGAAAAAACTGAATAAATAAAATCTTTAAAATGTTTAAAAAAAAAAAAAATTTGAAGAAAGTAGATAACATAAATAATATAAAAGTTTTTCAGTTTATGCTAAATACAACAGAGAGTAGTATTAGCTGGATCAACAGAAAAGACCAGCCTAGGGAGATTTTTTAAGTATCAAGAGCAAAACTAAAAAGATATCCAAGAAGAACTCTAGGAACTCAGAGACGTGAGATGTAAGAAAAAGAAAGAAGTGAATGAGATTTCGGATTCTACAGAGTCATCATTTAGAAATCATTAAGCAATCATTAAGAAAATCATACCCACTGAGCACACTTCTGTGTACAATCATAGTAGGAGAAAGCAATAGCCCCTTTATATAGTGTGGTTTAGCAGAAAGAGACTGGCCTTTAGATGCAGACAGTGCTAGATACAAAACATGGCTCTACTGCACTACCACCTCTTAGCCTTGTAACTTGAGCAAGTTAAATCTCTCTGAGCTTATGTCTCATCTGTTAATGACAGCAATAATACCTACATCTTATAAGATCACTGCATTGGAGGTAATGCATGTAACGTGCTCAGAACAGCACTGGGTAGGTGTTGCTGTTAATACAACAATCATTAATATTATTAGTTTTATAAATATTTCGTAGCAATGGAGTCAGTCAACAACAACTGATTGGACATCTATCACATGGTATCCCAGTGGTACTGGGAAGTGCTGGGAAGATATAGAAGACAGACTGCAGACACTTCTTTGAAAGGAGAAAAAAAAGAGAAAGTCTTGGAAACACGACATAAACATTAGAAAATATGTATATTTTTTGGGTGAGGAAGATTGGCCCTGAGCTAACATCTCTTGCCAATCTTCCTCTTTTTGCTTGAGGAGAGGGTCCCTGAGCTAACATCCGTGCCAATCTTCCTCTATTTTGTATGTGGAACGGCACCACAGCAGGGCTTGAGGAGCAGCTCGTAGGTCCGCACCCAGGATCCAAACTTGCGAACCCTGGGCTGCCGAAGCGGAGCACGCGAACTTAACCACTATGCTACCAGGCTGGCCCCTAGAAAATATATTAACAGCATTTTACTTTGAAAATTTTTTTATAGTCTTCTCTTCTTGCTGAGATTGAAGCTTTGAAAATAAATAATATGGCCAGCTTTAATATACATAACATATGAACACATACTGCAAATGCTAATGATACCAGCAACATAATGGTTTTTAAGCTAAAGGAAAAGAATTAGCATATATACAAAAAAAGACTGTTATTGGGGCCCCTAATGAGGCAAGGGAAAGTTTAGGTTGGAACTGCCAGGAGGAACTATAACCCAGAGACCCATCCAAATCATACATACTCCTTGGCTCCAAGAACTAGGTACTGGCACAACAGTTTGTACAAAATGTGCCTTGCACACATCAATTCCTGTGACCTAGAATGAAGAGTGGCCAAAAAGACAAGACCTAAAGAACATACAGCTTCAGAAAGCCAAGGCACTCAAGTAAAAGAACTCAAAGCTCAAAACACAAGAGGCATCTGCCCAGAGAATTTAAAAAGATGAATTAAAAATAAATGCTCTTATATAATAATATAATCTAAATATATAAATTTCAAATTAACAATTAAAATTATTTTCATTTACCTGATTGCTTAGAATTTCTTTCTTTCCACTGAATATTTTTGCATTTGATCTGGTTTTGTCTCTCTTTTCGGAGTCGTTCTAATCTTTGAGCTTGAAAAGAAATATTATAACTATAAGTTTGTCAATGAAAGTTTACTATAAACAAAGACATAATTAACTACCTTTATATGAATAAAGATGTTTTATATTGCACATGTAGGGAAAAAGTCATAAAATTTTAAAGGTGGCACCCCTGAAAAGCAAATACCAACAAAAACATGAAAATATTCTTGATTTATAATTGAAATTAGAGGATATAAAACATTAATAGAGATCATAAAGATAGTATTAACATGGAAGAGAATAATAAAATGTGAAAACTTCTGTGATTAATATGACATTTCATTATATAAATCATTAATAACGGTCTTAAAGGAATTTTAATGCACAAATGAACTGAAGTGAATATTACATTACAGGAATAAAATTACTGTTATGAATTACTCTACCCGTTTCAAAAATTAAAGATAAATGAACTCAGACTAGACTATTAAAGTTTTAAATATAAAATCCTTTATCTAAAAATCATGAAAATTATAAAATGTCAAAGCTATATAAATTAGCATAGCTTTTCTTCAGTGGGCTGAAACAGTTTATAGGTAGTAAAATAAATGATTTGTATCTTTGTAACATTAGTCAAATCTTAAAAAGAACTATTTTTCTTATACAAAATTTTAAGATATGCTGAAAAGATTAAAAAGTAAATTCCTTGGTCACTAGGACACCCCACAATCTGAATTAATTATTAGCATCTAAGCACTATCTTGAGAAATTCCAACAACAATAATAAAAGCATCATCTAAAATTACACATTTATGATTATATCACTACTGGCTGATCAACCTTCAAAACCAGTGAACCCATCTTAAAGACATACTGTCCAGACACGTTAACAACTGCTGCCTACGGAGACGACAATGGAAAAGAAAGTCACAACTGAAGCCATCTCTTGAAATTAGTTTCCTCTACTAATCTTCAATTTCCTAACCTGGCACAATGCTAATAAAAAAATAAATAAAATAAATTTCTCTTTCAACCACTTTCAAGGTAGGAAATCATACACTCCTGGCCTTAGCAATGTGGTAGGAAATACTGAAGCTAATCTTGCCAGAAATTTAAACTATGCTGGCAAAAGCATTCTGACAATGTCACTATTTCTAACCAAATTCCATTGAAGAAAAATACATTCAATTGCAATTAATAAATGTGAAGGGTACAGCCAAAGTAATATAATCACAAAGCTCTCAATTTAACAGCATTCTCCTACTGAAATCCATTCAACCTGTCATATAAGATATCATCTCAATAACTTGCAAGGAAGTCAGTTTCAACTAGAGAACTGAGAATCAATGGTTCTAAATTATATTCAAACCTTCACTCAAATCCTATTTTGATAAAAGTTCCTTTAGATACTGGGAAATGCTATTAATTATTTTCATCATAAGAGCAAATTATTCTTTGTAGATGTCACAGAACGCTGAATTCTGAACCAAAACCTTACCGTGCCTTTCGCTGTAAATTGTATCCTGCTCTACCTGCAGTACTCCGTATGTACATTCTACATTTGGACTATGAAAATAAACATGCAAGTATTTTCAATGTTCTACTACATCTCCGGCCATTACTTTTCCTGGTAGTTAGCAGGTTACTACTACTGATTAGGAGATTATATTTTCTGATTATCTAAAAAAAAACTATCTCCTAGAATACTTTGTCATATTAGAACAACTATATTATATATTCTAAATAATTTATCTGTCTAAGTAAAGGCCTTGGTTCATCACATTCCCCTTCAAAGGGTTCCAAAAACTATAAGCTGGAAAATGGGCAATGATAAGCCTTTAAAAGCTAGTGACTAGAAACATATATGTATATATACATACACATATACATGCACAGGCCAAACTTGAGCATTTTCAAGTCGCAAAGATCAAAGGGTAGAGATCAACTTAAGAAAATAAAGGTAATGTTATCAAAAACAGGGGCACCTTTTCTAATCTCCCACCCAACGTAGGAATTCCTATTAAAAGCAGTCCTAATAAATATTCAGCTGTCTCTCTCCAATCCCCCTTCCCCCCACCTCAATTCCTCCAGGGGCAAGAACTGTCTCAGGCAGCAGCACTCTTTGGCTGGTCAGCTCTCTGTATTAAAGGTTCTTTATTACATCAACCTGAAATCTGCCTCCAGGTAGTCTGCTTACTGGGACTAATGCTGCTCTGTGAAGACACTCAAAACAAGTCCACCTCCCTTTCTACATGATGACTTTTTAGAAACAGAACATCCAACACGCCTCTCAGAGCCAACTTTTTCACCGACTCCTCTTCTATCTATTTCCTTCTAATAGCATCATTCCAGAGGTTCTCTCCATTCATAGTCACAGAGATGAAGATGTTGCTTAGCTCACTCTTAGTCTAATACATGCATATTTCTGTTAATATACAGAAACTTTCCCCATTAAACCTATTCCAACATTATACATTAGTCTATAAGATTGTTTACTGATTTAAAACTCAGAAGACATGACTAAAATGCAATGTTTACCTGTATTTGAGCGTCTTCTAATACCAAAGTCCCAACTTGAGGTAATATCGACTGACTGGGCATATACATAGCCCTGAGTCTCACCATTGCTTCCCTGAATTTCTGACCCACTGTCTCCAGGCATTGAAGGAGGATGAATCTTCTCTAGGTCAACATCATGATCAATGAGAACCATCTCACACATTCCTGTGTCATCACTGGTCACATGTGACTGTCGAATATGAGCTAGAATGATAGTTGGATTGTCCAAGAAGGCCATCCTTTCTGTGGGCCAATTTCCTTAAAAGGCTATTTTCTCCTCTTCATATTGTTTCACGGGCTCACCTACCTGGAAATATGATGTACACAGCAATATTTAAGAGCAAGGCAGAAAATGACTGAATCATTTTTCAAACAAATTCAACGTGGTAAAATGCTACCTTGAAAATCAACAGTTATCCCTCTACCTAGGAGCTTAAAAGGATTAAGTCTAAGCTGAAAGGAAATCCTTATAAGCACAAGGGGCTACGGCTCTAGTCAATAAGATCTCCATGGTATCAGAGAGGATGGCTTGCTCTCTTGCAAAACAAATAATAGTAACTCCTTAGTCAGGCCTCAAAGCACATTAACTACCGTTAAAACAATAAATTTTTCTTTCTTTCTCCCTTCATTCCCATGCAGTCTTCTCATTACTTTATAATGTGATGGGGGAACAAGTTGTATTTTCCTCAAATGATGTGCTGAAGTATGAAACTGTATTTCTTCAGTTTACATTCCCTTCTGTCATATGGTTGTCAAGCGTGTAAAAGGGCACAGACAATGCTTTCTGAGTTACTAGGAATTTTACAAAAATGTACCACCAAAGTAATTTTGTTCAATAAATACATTTTCCTTTCTTCTGATTTAAGATAGTATTGTGCTTTTAAAATAAAACCTATTAATCAAACTTCTGCTACCAGATTAATTTCTTATTTTAGAAACCTAATTATAAGAACTGCTTCCTGAATCCTGTTAAGACTGTAATGATGTTTATTCTGGGAACAAGATGGTACTTCCTCAGTTAAATGGGAATACTCAATAAAGAAAATATTACAGAACCGTGGTTAGGAACCTTAGGCCCTATAGGCAGAACTGGGTTCAAATCCTGGCCCTATCACTTGCTAGCTATGTGATCTTGGTCAAAATAACCCCGACCTCTTTAAGCCTATTTTCTTTCTTCATTTATAAAATGGGAGTTCCAGGGATGAGAGGATATATAGGAGATAACGCGGGTAAAGTGCTCAAAACAGTACCTCACACATAATTAAATATTAGCTGTTATTAATAATGATGATGATGATGGTAAAAATATCATTACCAACTTCAGCTTACAACTCTTGTTTAAAGTAATCCTATAATATATCAACTATTCACCCTTCTTGAGTAAGCTCACAGCAGGTAAATAAGTGTGTGCTTCCTTTGTGACAGAGGACTTGCAGGTCATCTGGGTCACCTCCCTGCTCTTCTAAAATCATTATGAAGTGCAAAGAATGTGAAAGCTGGATTGAATAGGTTCCTAGGAACAGTCCTAGAGGATATGCATTTTAGAAAGACCTATAATACCAGATTTTCTTGTCATTTGTTTCTCCTAGAAAAGGAACATAGGGGGAAATCTAGGTAATAAATCATTATAGCTAACTAAGGTTTTAAAAATTTTTGTCTGGTAACATATCATTCTATTGACATCACTTGGTGGGCTTAAAATAAAGATACTGAGCGGCCGGCCCAGTGGCCTAGTGGTTAAGTTCCCACACCCTGCTTCTGCGGCCCAGGGTTCACAGGTTCGGATCCCGGGCACGGACTTATGCACCACTTGTCAAGCCATGCTGTGGCGGCATCCCATGTAGAGCAGAGGAAGATGGGCACGGATGTTGGCCCAGGGCCAGTCTTCCTCAACAAAAAAAGAGGAGGATTGGAAACGGATGTTAGCTTAGGGCTAGTCTTCCTCACAAAATAAAAAATAAATAAAGATACTGAAATTAAGAGGAAGTTCAACTGAGAAGCAACTCTAATCAAGTGAATTACATTAATCTTCATTTTCTTCCTTTAAATATATTCACTGAGTATTTATTTTACACTGAGGCTAATGGGAAATGCAAAGGTGAGTAAGGCATACCTGAATCAAAAAGTTTACATCCTAATACAGACCTAGTATATCTCCTAATATCATGGGAGTCTTCTAAGAGTCAATTTTCGAAGACATTTAGTCTCAGAAACATTAATGTCAGCTCAGCATTTTAAGAGTATTAATCAGAAGCTGGCCCTGTGGCTTAGTGGTTAAGTGCTCGCACTCTGCTACTGGTGGCCTAGGTTCGGATCTCGGGCGTGCACCGACGCACCACTTCTCTGGCCATGCTGAGGCCGCGTCCCACATACAGCAACTAGAAGGATGTGCAACTATGACATACAACTATCTACTGGGGCTTTGGGGGAAAAAAAAAAAGGAGGAGGACTGGCAATAGATGTTAGCTCAGAGCCGGTCTTCCTCAGCAAAAAAGAGGAGGATTAGCATAGATGTTAGCTCAGAGCTGATCTTCCTCACAAAAAAAAAAAAAAAGAGAGAGTATTAATCAGAAAAAAAGTTACAGAATTAAAGGGGAGCATTTAAATTTCACTGGTAAAAATAGGAACTTCTTATATAACCACAAAGAGATGTATACAACCATACAATCACTTATAAATGAGAGTATTTGTTTTGTAACAGAATCATAGCATCACAGATCGCCAGAGCTGCAAATGGCCTCGGGGCAACACAACAAGAGTCTTCCCCACGAAAGTAAGGCAACGAGGCACCGGCAGAGGGGCAGGTGCTTTCAACTTCATATGGCATAGTTTTCCCCTACAAAAACAAGGGCTTCAGTGAACAGCCACACATTTAATGGGTGTTTTGGCACCAAAAGTCAAAGGGCAAAGCAACAAAAGTATACTGAAATACCCTCAAGAGAATCTTTTTCAGCAAAACGGATCTGCTCCATCACCTCTTATGAAGAAAAGAGTTATGGGCAAACACTTCTAAAGGCACAGACCAACTCCCTAACTTGATCTTTACAGAACAGAGGCCCCAAAACACCCCAACATGAGCAGATATCTTCCCTACTAGTACATTATGACTTCATACAATGAGGAATCTGGATGATTCACTCAACAAATATTTACTCAATACCTGTTCTGATAGGGAACTCCCACAGGACTGCCCTGGGAAACGTAACTTCCACCTCCTGTGACATGCACTTGAAGTCGTAGACTGTAAGTTCCACAAGGACAGAAGCCATAACACCACATCCCTTCTGGCAAGAAAGGATCTTAAACATGGCAGGAATTCAATAAATGTTGCTGTCTGACTTCCAAGGACTACACAATTTTGTTGTAGAGATAAGTCATATACGAGCATGTCATGTGTAAGTGTGATTATAAAGAAAGGATTGTCTTTTTTTTTATTAATACCGACACAAGAGCTTCTCTTCAATGTGCCCTTCAAAACTGTCACCCTGGGACACTATCAATTTATTCCAACACTATTTTTCAGAACCAAAAGAATATGTTTTAAATCACTTTAAGAGGAGTGAATTATCATTTGAAGGTAGATTTCGTTTCTAAGACAAAGATATTCCGAACACAGATGAAAACAAGTTATTTTTTCTGATCGGTTACACAAAGATCAAAGATTTTAAAATCTAATGTTGGCAGGTATTCAGAGAAATGGGCACTCTCATGTACTACAGGAGAGAATGAAAATTGGGACTTTTTAGAAGGTAATTTGGTAATATCTATCAAAGCGTAAAACATGAATACCCTTTGGACAACCCCACTTCCAGGATTCACTCTTAAGTGATGATGCAAAAATATTTATCTCAAGACTGTGTGTAATACTGAAAATCTGAAAGTAACCTAAACATCCATCAACAGTGCATAGGCCACGACACATACACACAAGGGAATACTACACAGTCATTAAAAATCCATGGTAGAGAATGGATAAACAAAATGCGGTAGATTCAGACAACGGAATGTTATTCAGCCTTAAAAAGGAAGGACATTCTGACACATGCTACAACATGGATGAACTTGGAGGACATTATGCTAAATGAAATAAGCTAGTAACAAAAGGAAAAATACTCTATGATTCCACTTATATGAGGTACCTAGAGTAGTCAAATTCATAGAGACAGAAAGAACAGCAGTTGCAAGGGGCGGGGGGAGGGGGAAATGGGAAGCAAGTGTTTAATGGGTATGTTTCAGTTTGGGAAGATGGAAAAGTTCTGGAGATGGATGGTGGCAATGGTTGTACAACAATGTGAATATACTTAATGCCACTGAACTGTAGACTTAAAATGGTTAAAATTGTAAATTTTATGTTATATATATTTTACAATTTTTAAAATTTAAATTTAAATTTTAAAAAATGTCTAGGAAATGCCAGATTAAACACAATTAAATAGGTTTTCTTCTTGCTGTTTAATTACAGCACTTCTCAAAGCTTTTAAATACTGTGAATCGCCAAGAGTGGGGAATCTGGTAATGCAATATATCCCAAATCCCAAACTTATTTGATCCCTAAACATTTTTTCCTCTAGGAACACTAAAACATATCCATGTATCACAGAGTTTCACAGAACATGGTTTAGAAGTGCTGCTCTACACTTTTACTACGTTGTTTCTTAGGGCCTCGAATGCCTTCCCTGGATGTCACCAATTCTTGACTCTCTGAGATAGTAGGTCCTTTTTATATACCTTTAGGCTACCGGATAAACAATAATCCCAGGCTCCGGGAAGTCTGTTCCCCTATGATGTCCTACTTTCACAAGTTCTCCCCCTTTTTTAAACTCCAGCTTCCTCAAAGCATAAAGATTTCTTTTACTAAAAATGGAAGCAATAGGGACAACCACACAGAGTGGGAGGAGAGTACCAGATGTCCCAAAATGACACTGCCATTTTTAATGTACTAAGTGGATCTCCTTTTATACTTCATTCATTCATTCATTCAACGAATATTCATTAGGTTCCTACTATGTGCTAAGTATGGTTCCAGGTGCAATGTGGATGATATTACCACTTTACATAATGTGTTTGTAATGTTCGTGTTCATTAATCTGTGTTCATTAATGACCACATAACCTGCCTGTGGTAACCTGGAACATGCCCTAAACAGGGGAATAAATTTTTAGTAGGTTTTAATGGGTATCAAGTCGCAATACAAGAATTTTTTTTTTTTTTAGTGAGGAAGATCAGCCCTGTGCTAACATCTGCCAATCCTCCTCTTTTTTTGCTGAGGAAGCCTGGCCCTGGGCTAACATCCGTGCCTCATCTTCC